TTTATGTATACATCATATTAGTGTGTTCTGTTGATTTTAAGCTCATTTGAATATAAAAGCTCATTATTTTACTGTATTTTTTCCTTTACTGTATTTCTCTATTAATCATTAGATTCTAAAAAAAAATTTAAAAATAGGTTTCATTTTCTTCATTTAAAAAATTCTTCACTTTTTTGGAGGGAAAAATAACCCAATTATGATTGCATACAATTCATCCATTGATATCCCACTCTTAACATGTGTAACAGTTAAGTAGTGACTGGTTTTGATCTGATCTCAGCGCATTCTGTGTGGCTAAAATACACAGCTCTGCCAGCTGAGCAAGCAGCCGTGAGGAGCTTCACAGGAGAAATCCCCGACTGCTGAGGGGTCAAAAGTTGGATTCCTGCATTTTTCTCTGGTGTTCTTTGCCTGACCAGATGCCCCTGCTCTTATGTTTTTAAACCCATCCCTTTAAAGACACTTAACCCCTCTGTAAGAACTGCCCTGGGCAGGGTTGGGAATCTGTCCTCCTCGGTATGGAAATCATATCACTTCTTTCCCAGGCTTCTGGGAAGGTTCTACAACATTACATGACTGAAGTTGTACAAATGATAATCTGAATCTTGCTGATGTAGCGTACATGATACACCTCAAAAGTCATCTACTAGTGATGTTTGTGGCAGTTTTTACTGTGGTAAATGTATCATCATGTGAGTTCCTTTTGAACTTCTTTTATATGTGCAGAACAATCGTGTGCGGAGGTTTGCGTTCGAGCTGAAGATGCAAGATAAGAGTGGCTATGTTCTGGCCGCTGACTCTGAGAGCGAGATGGACGACTGGATCAGCACCCTCAACAAAATCCTCAGCAGCAGCTTTGAGCTCGCCATGCAGGACAAGAGGAACGGAGACTTACACGATGGTGTGTGTGTGTGCAGATTATCAAGAACCCTTAGTCATCTGTGCATTTTAGACACATTTAGATGGCACATTCCTGAAGCAAACCACACTGACCTCCACACATGGGAGTGACTGTATACACAATGACAAAGAGACATGACTGTGTCCCTCAGAGAGTTACTGTGGTTACTGTGTGGTGTAATGACTTTCTTCTGTCCGTCTCTGTTGTAGATGATGAACAGGCGAAAAGCGATCACTCCTCTAGCAGTATGGACAGTTTTCAGGTAGGTCACACTTGTCCAGAAACAGCGATGACCCTTGAGTGTGAGAGAAACTCGACTGAACACAGAAATCATCACACTACTGCTGAGTTTGAGGGGAATTTTTTTTTGTGTACAGTTGGTGTGTAGCTAGACTTTTGACTGTCATTTTAAAGTCTGGTCTACTTGGCAGCTTATTCTGGCCAAGAACCGCCCACCGAGACTGGAAGGGCTGTTTGATAGACTTTATTTGACATTAAGGGATGGAAAACTGAAAATCTTGAAGTAAAGCAGAATATAAAGGTGTGCAAGAGGAAATCGTACTTACTTGTTACTAAGCCTTTCAGAACATCTGTGAATATCTTGTGAAGTTTGAATGCTATGAGCACCAACAACTTTGTCCATTTCAGCAACTAGTTCTTTAACATTTATCATTGTTATGTGAAATTTCACAGGCGAATTCCATTCACTTCAGTAGCAATATGTGTTGAGTTTCGCTTGGGGGCGAAAAAGTTCCCCATGTAGATTTTGCTCATTTTCATATTAGGCTTGCTGCGATAGACGGTGCTGACAGTGATACCGGTGTTAAGCCGCAACACTGGTTACGTCACTTGCCCACCGCGGCACCGACCCCCACCGTCCCCCATGGTGATACCGGTATTACCGGTGTTGTCACACGTCGATCAACCAGTGGGAAAATTTCCTCACCGTCACAATCCTATTTCATATTTGGTCACGTGGATTCGCTGCACTGATGAACAGAAAGCTGCTTGGTTTGAAAGTGACTTCTGTGTGAGCTGCACAATGGAAAATGGCCATATTTGCTAAAAAAATGGCAACAATCAACAGAAGTCAATATTAAATCAAGCAGCTTTCAGTTGATCAACATGCCGAATTCACGTGACCAATTTTTTCTCCCTCACTCAAAATTCCCAAATGTGTGGATCCCTGTTAAGAAGTTAAGAAGTTACCAGTAAAAATTCACTCTACCGCAATACACGTGTCCGCTCATTTAAGTCAAGTTACTTTTATTTATTTAGTGCTTTATCATCGAATACACATTGTTTCAAAGCAGCTTCATAGTGATAAACAAGAAAATATCAGTATTGATCCTGCAGTTCTTTAATGAAACAAATAGTAGTGTCATTATTCAACTCCATTTAGTTCAGTGTTGATTTGATTTAGGTCAGTAACAGTGTGAATGTTGCAAAGTTCATTATGAAGCGAACTCAACTACAAAGCAGTCCTATAGCTTATAGCAGGGGTGTGGACTCGAGTCACTTGACTTCGAGACTCGACTCGGACTCGAGTCCCAAATTTGATGACTTGTGACTCAACTCGACATAATTAAAGAAGACTTGAGACTCGACTTAGACTTTGACAGCAAGGACTCGAGACTTGACTTGGACTTGAGCCCTGTGACTCGGAAAGACTTTATGATCAGATCAATGTCGTTATAGACTCGTCCCTGCAGCGTGCTTGTGCTTGACTGGCAATAAACCAGAGACTGCGTTCAGGGAGCGCTGGATAGGCTAGTATAAATTAATGGAGTAATAGCATAACTTACGACAAAAGAACAGAGATTAAAAAAAAAAAAAAAATTACATGATTCGTCTAGTAGCGATCTCCGCTTGTGAAAAGCGCTGCCCTGTCCGTTTGATCGCCGCCCAGCAGACACACGGAGCGGGCATGAGAAACGAGATGCGCGGCCGCGATCACGGGAGCTCGCCTCATCATCACCGTGACCGCTGCTGTTAAATATTCCTCACTTCTTTTGTTTGTCCGACACCGAGGTGCACCATGAGTGAAGGATCCGCATCCCGCCACGACCCTCGCACTCTGCCAACTCGATGTGCTTTCATTTTCATTTTTATTTGTAATAAACACCTCTCTGAGACCTGTTTTTGTCAGATCTCCACAGTTTTTGTTCGATCAGTTACATATTTTAATTGCATGTGCATTTTTTTTTTATTATTTAAATCTCCATTAACCCTTAAATGCATGAAAGTTTCGCCAATCATTATTACATATTCGGGTCTTTAGCGACCCGGACCTATATAACCTACAGCACGGATGGATCTTT